CACCGTTCTATGGCCAGGACCACAACATGAGTGCGAGCGTGAGCGATAACATTCTTTCATCATTCCAGCCACATCCGCTAGGCGCGCAAGGAAATTTCCTGGCTTCATCTGCTTGTTACTACAAAGTATATAGTCAATAGTCACATGACGGTTGTCGAAACTGCTTACGTTGCAGATGCCAGCAACAGTCCGGAAAAAAGCTGCCGATTTGAGGTTGAGGCAAGAGGAAGTCAAGGGATCAGAACCATCCTTGAGGTCACTTCAGTCTTCTGCATCACGCACTTCCCTCTCCTGGGAATTACACTTGGAAAGGAAATTTCAACCCTAATTTAGTTTAGAGAACTATACAGGGTGATTGATATAAGTGTGCCAGCTGTTTTATTCAAAAACTATAAGAGATATAAAAAAAAGTTAAAAGGTAAGTGCCTTGGATTTTCTATTTTTAAAAATGTAGTCGAGTCAAAAAAAAGTATTTTTCCAATATGGCCGCCAACTTTGTTTTTTCTTACAAAGCACCATGTAATTTATGATGTATTCCAGTATAAAATTAATTTTAAGACAATTTTACTCTTGTGTTTTTTTTCATACACCTAACTGTTTCAAAGATAATAATGGTTAAAGTTGTGAAATTTTGAATAGTTTTTGAATAAAACAGCTGGCGCTTGCTTAGGCTTTTAAAAAAAACTAAAGAAACTAATAAAGTGTGTGTTTTGAGTAAAATAATTATTGCTTAGTATAAAATGAATATATTTGCCAAGTTTGATCAAAAGATATCTATAAACAAGCAAACTACAACATTTTACAATATTCTCCATAAGAATAACATGGGAATTTTAAATTAACAATTTTTTTATTTTTCTCCGTAACCAATAACCGTACAAAAACACTTTGATATACTGAATTGTTTGTTTTTTAAGCTCTTTAAGAAAGTTTAGAGAAAAATTGGGAAATTTTGTGTTTTGAGGGTCAAAAGTGAGAAAAACCAATTTTTACCCCATAAAACCCTGTTCCCATGGTCCGATCATGCTGGATCGCTAACTCATTCAAGTTTATCCCGCCTTACACCTTCAAACCTAATTTAATCAAAATCGGATAAAAATTACTCAAGTTATCAAGTTCACGGACACATATATATATATAAATCTATATATATATATGTATATATATATATATACATATATAAAAATTTGAACTAATGGTGTTTTTGGCCTCTGGGGACATCAAAATGAAAAAGTAAATCGGTCCCGGGCCTAAGTCCATGAGACCTACGGTAATAGCTACTTCCCTATAGGGAAATTCGCTAAAAAAACAATTATGTTAAAAATTACAAAATATTGTGTAGCTACAAACAAACAAATGCTGAAACGGGTTCTTTATGATATTTTTAAAACAAAACTATATGATATGAACTATGATAATTTTGAAACTTTCGTTTAAGTAATAAAACATGTATACTCATATTTGTAGACAAGAGAAAAACACTACTGTATACTATTAAGCTGGCATTCATTGCTTACCCCTTCTCTTTAAAAACATTGTTGGTTAGATGACCTCAGCCTTATTTAACATTTGCACTCATTGCTATATTTTTATACAGTATTTCAACTTTCATTTCCAGTTTCGTTGGCTATGTGTTTTCTTATCTTGCGTTAGCATTACTATGTTGCCAAGTTAAGAGTACCTACCGCTTTGTCGAAACAATATCTTTTTAGAGAACTTGAATAGTGCTTTTGCAGATTTAACTTTTATTATTGTTTAAAGTTTTACTTAAATGCTTGAAAAAAAATCATAAACATTAACACAGATGCAGATTATTGGCAACTTCTTGGATGGCATTGTGTCATTGCCTACTCTTAACAAAAGTATGGTAAATTTCTCTTTTATTACCTATCAATTTATTTTTTAGTACCCATCAAATCATCTGTGTTAGACCATCTCCCGTCACTCACTACGGCAACGTCAGGGTCATCTTATGCGATCATGGTACCATCGTAGCTATCTCGAATGACCACAGAAATTCACCCAGTTGCAATTCACATTTTAAAAACCGCCATATCTGGTTTTAGTAAATACCCCCGCCGCAGCAAACCTGCCGTCTAAGCGAATTTCCATTTGGCTGAATTGATTTTCAATCGATCTATTTAAATAACATTAGGTTTAACGAGTACCTAGGTTTGCTGCTACAAGGAAACTAATAAAGTGTGTGTTTTAAGTAAAATAATTATTGCTTAGTATAAAATGAATATGTTTGCCAAGTTTGATCAAAAGATATCCATAAACAAGCAAACTACAACATTTTACAATATTCTCCATAAGAATAACATGGGAATTTTAAATTTACAATTTTTGTAGTTTTCTCCGTAACCAATAACCGTACAAAAACACTTTGATATACTGAATTGTTTGTTTTGTTAAGCTCTTTGAGAAGGTCTAGAGAAAAATTGGGAAATTTTGTGCTTTGAGGGTCAAAAGTGAGAAAAACCAATTTTTACCCCATAAAACCCTGTTCCCATGGTCCGATCATGCTGGATCGCGAACTCATTCAAGTTTATCCCGCCTTACACCTCCAAACCAAATTTTATCCAAATCGGATAAAAATTACTCAAGTTATCGTGTTCACGGACACATATATATATAAATCTATATATATATATATATAGATATATATATCAATAAATTAATAACTTAAAAAAAGGGTACTAAATGTTTAATTATTTATTTCATTTATTAATATATATATATATATATATATATATATATATATATATATATACAAATTTGAACGAATTGTGTTTTTGGCCTCTGGGGACATCAAAATGAAAAAGTAAATCGGTCCCGGGCCTAAGTCGTACCATGAGACCTACGGTAATAGCTACTTCCCTATAGAGAAATTCGCTAAAATGCAAATCAAATAGTTGGGCTTTCTGAATATCAAGCTAGAAATGTAAATAAACAAATGTAAACACGGTGGTTTTGCGCTTTGTGAGTTGTTTGGTCGGGTTATGTTTACCTAGTCTCCGTTCCCTCAGACAGCTTGAGACGTCCAGGATCCGCTGGCTAATCTTCCTCCGTTGTTCGCTACTACTTCTTGGCCTTCGGAAGATTCTATGGTGTTGATCTACACGTACACTACTGGATACGGGTGCGTTCACACAGAAAGCTGGTTACAAGTAACATGTTTTCAGCGCTTGCTCAAAGCGCTTAAGAATTTTGTTGTGGGCAGGATTAGGGAGTACTTACCTACCTTACCCCTTGGCACTACAGCCAGATGTGGACCTTGGCCTCGTGCCTCCAATCATTTCTTTCTTTTGCTTTTTCTTTCCATCACCTTACATTCAATTTTCTCAAATCCTCCTCCACATCCTCCTGCCATCTTTTTCTAGGTCTTCCTTACTCCAATTATATTGCTTTATAAAACTCTCCTTTGGAGCCTATCTTCTTTCATCCTCTCGACATGGCCAATCCATCGTAATCTTGAGGCTTTTATTATGAACATAACAATATTTTTCTCCCGATTATTTCATTAATTTTGTTATTATGCCTAACTCTCTATCTTTCACTGGGCCACATATCCTTCTACATATTATTCTTTTGAAAATACGGAGAGATTTTATATAGTCTGCTGTTAACGTCCATGACTCTGAAGCATTCGTCACAACTGGCCTAATCAATGTTTCATAGAGCCCTATTTTTGTTGTTTTTTATATTAACTTTGATTTAATTACTTACCATTTTGAATAAAAAAACTGTGTTACCAGTTTGTCAAGTTTGATCAAAATGTATCCACAAACAAGCAAACTACAACATTTTACAATATTCTCCACATGAATAACATGGGAATTTTAAATTTACAATCTTTTGAATTTTCTACCAATGACCGTACAAAAACATGAAGTATTAAATTATTTTATTTTTAAGCTCTTTAAAAAGGTCTAGAGATAAATTAGGAAATTTTATGTTTTGAGGGTCAAAAATGAGAAAAACAATTTTTTACCCCATAAAAACCCCCCTGTAAAACCCTGTTCTCATAGTCCGATCATGCTGGTTCAAGATCTCATTCAAGTTTATCCGGCCTTACACCTTAAAGCCAAAATTGAACAAACATTACTCAAGTTGTTAACGGAAACACACACACACACACATACATATATATATATATATATATATATATATATATATATACTAGCAGAGTACCCGTCCTTCGTACGGGGTTGGCATCAAGTATAAAATGCTTACTAATTGCAGTTATACCTTTAGCTTTGCGACATAGTTACTAGTTAGTATAACAAAATAAGTAATATATAAGTTAAAGTTATACTGTAATGGGTATTTGTTGGATATAGTTTATTTTAAAATTCTAATAATAATCTATATATATAAAAGGCAAAGCCCTCACTGACTCACTCACTCACTCACTCACTCATCACTAATTCTCTTACTTCCCATTTACCTAGGAGGCTGAAATTTGGTACACTGATTCTTTAGACATTAAATAGGAAAACTAAGCTGTTTTTATTCTGATCGGACTCTCGGACTCCGCCCCAGTTGCTCTGGAGATTCCCATGTTAACCTTATGAGTACTCATATTTAAATGGAATTAATGAATCTTGACAGCTGTTTCAATTAAACAAGTTGGTTCTGTTCTATGATGTTCAATAGCATTAAAGTTACAAGGATTACCAACAGGGTGCAGCACTATATTATTTCTTTTACATTTATGACAACAGCTAATCTGCAACCAAAAGGTGAGCGAGCTTAGCGAACGAACTTCAACCTGGAGGCGAGTTAGCGTAGCGAACGAGCTAATCTGAAGGCAAGTGAGCGCAGCGAACAAGTTCCAACCTAAAAGTGAATGAGCGTAGCGAACGAACTTCAACCAGGACGTGATTGAGCCATGCGAACGAGCTCACTTATAAAGTTAAACGGGGCAAAGCCCGCGGGTACAGCTAGTGTATAATATATTTTGAATCTGCAAAATTTTCTAGTTTGGATTGTTTCAGCGATCAGTGCAGAATGTGGCGTAGCCAGGTTTTTTGCGCCCTGGAGCAGAAGTAGCACAACCCCCCCCCCCCTCTCACTCCTAACTTTAGACAGGACTCAGGTAAATATCTTTTTGATTCAGTGCAAATTTGTTGTTTACGAGCAATTAAATTCAATAGACATAAAAAAACACTTTCAACTGAAAATAGAACACATACTACATCTAATACCTAATTCTTTTTTTACGCTCTACGGTGCCATATTTAGACCGATTGAATCAAAATTTGTATATTCGTTAATACCACCACTATTAAAAACAATTTTTTTTTTGAATGTAAATGTGCAAATATGTCTCAGAATATTAAGAAAGGGCATCACTTAAGTACAGTTAAGGCCAAGGGCTAAAGTTGGGGAACGGCAGCGCTATCTGTTTACATTAGATAAGACCATTGACTATTTGGTTGTTGTATTAATAGTCAAAGATAAAACTCAATTCCCTTTGTTTACAACTATAGACGTAGTTTTAAATTTTAACCATAGACTGCAGGATTTGTTACTTGAAGAGCAAAGCCGGAAATTGTATTTTTATTTTAACATCTGTTAACTAAGTCTGGTTCATAAATAAAGAGTTTTCTAGCAATTCTTGAAAAAAAAAATCCTTATCCTATACTCTAATACGAGCAAAGTTTGCTTGTATGTATGCTTGCACCAAGATCTCGAAAACGGCTCCGACGATTTTCTTCAAATGTTGCATATAGTTTATTTCTGGCCTAAAAACGAGTTTACTGCAATTAGAACTGCCAACAAAAATCTAATTACGTAGAAAAATGTAACTGAAAATCACATTTTTTTAACATTAGTCTTATGGGTTGCTAGGTAACCATGTTGGCTGAATTAAATAACAAGGAAAAAGTAAACAAAAGACTTGTAATAATTTGTCTATCCACAGTATACTAGCAAAACAAAATACAGTACAAAAGGAAAAAAACATCAGTTGTTACTATTGAGCAAAGATTATACTGAAGATAACTCGATTCTATAGTCAAGGGTAGCAGTGTGGAATGTGGGATCTGTTTATATGACGATTAGATTACGGTATCTGCAATCCTTAAATGCTATGGAAAGGGAGGAAAACAGGTCCACGACATAGGAAGTGGTGAAGGAAGTAGTAAAGGCGAGCAGTCTGGAGTGAGGGAACTGTTTATGACGATTAAATTAAGGTATCTGCAATCCTAAAATGTAATGGGAAGGGAGGAAAACAGGTCCATGATGTAGGAAATGGGGAAGGAAATTGTAAGGCTAGCAGTGCAGAGTGTGGGAACCATCTGTGGCATTTATATGTATCTGCAATTCTAAAATAGTATAAGGAAGGAGGGCAAACAGGTCTATACTACGACATAGGGAGTGGTGAGGGAAGTAGTAAGGGTGAGCAGTCCGGAGTGTAGGAATTGTTAATAATGATTAGATCAAGTTATCTAAAATTATAAAATGCTATGGGAAGGGAGGGAATCAGGTCCGCGACGTAGGAAGTGGTGAAGGAAGTAGTAAAGGCGAGCAGTCTAGAGTGTGGAAACTGTTTATGACGATTAGATTAAGGAATCTGCAATCCTAAAATGCTATGGGAAGGGAGGGAAACAGGTTCACGACGTAGGAAGTGGTGAAGGAAGTAGTAAAGGTGAGCAGTCCGGAGTGTGGGAACTGTTAATAACGATTAGATCAAGTTATCTACAATCCTAAAATGCTATGGGAAGGGATGGAAAGAGGTCCGCGACGTAGGAAGTGGTGAAGGAAGTAGTAAAGGCGAGCAGTCTAGAGTGTGGAAACTGTTTATGACGATTAGATTAAGGAATCTACAATCCTAAAATGCTATGGGAAGGGAGGGAATCAGGTCCGCGACGTAGGAAGTGGTAAAGGAAGTAGTAAAGGCGAGCAGTCTGGAGTGTGGAAACTGTTTATGACGATTAGATTAAGGAATCTGCAATCCTAAAATGCCATGGGAAGGGAGGGAAACAGGTCCGCGACGTAGGAAGTGGTAAAGGAAGTAGTAAAGGCGAGCAGTCTGGAGTGTGGAAACTGTTTATGACGATTAGATTAAGGAATCTGCAATCCTAAAATCCTACGGGAAGGAATGGAAAGAGGTCCGCGACGTAGGAAGTGGTGAAGGAAGTATTAAAGGCGAGCAATCTGGAGTGTGGGAACTGTTAATAACGATTAGATCAAGTTATCTACAATCCTAAAATGCTATGGGAAGGGATGGAAAGAGGTCCGCGACGTAGGAAGTGGTGAAGGAAGTAGTAAAAGCGAGCAATCTGGAGTGTGAAACCTGTTTATGACGATTAGATTAAGGAATCTACAATCCTAAAATGCTATGGAAATGGAGGGAAACAGGTCCGCGACGTAGGAAGTGGTGAAGGAAGTAGTAAAGGCGAGCAGTCTGGAGTGTGAAAACTGTTTATGACGATTAGATCACACTAAAATGCTATGGGAAGAGAGGGAAACAGGTCCGCGACGTAGGAAGTGGTGAAGGAAGTATTAAAGGTGAGCAATCTGGAATGTGGGTACTGTTAATAACGATTAGATCAAGTTACCTACAATCCTAAAATGCTATGGGAAGGGATGGAAAGAGGTCCGCGACGTAGGAAGTGGTGAAGGAAGTAGTAAAGGCGAGCAATCTGGAGTGTGAAACTGTTTATGACGATTTTATTAAGGAATCTACAATCCTAAAATGCTATGGGAATGGAGGGAAACAGGTCCGCGACGTAGGAAGTGGTGAAGGAAGTAGTAAAGGCGAGCAGTCTGGAGTGTGAAAATTGTTTATGACGATTAGATTAAGGAATCTGCAATCCTAAAATGCTATGGGAAGGGAGGGAAACAGGTTCACGACGTAGGAAGTGGTGAAGGAAGTATTAAAGGCGAGCAATCTGGAGTGTGGGAACTGTTAATAACGATTAGATCAAGTTATTTACAATCCTAAAATGCTATGGGAAGGGAGGGTATCAGGTCCGTGACGTAGGAAGTGGTGAAGGAAGTAGTAAAGGTGAGCAGTCTGGAGTGTGGAAACTTTTTATAACGATTAGATTAAGGAATCTGCAATCCTAAAATCCTACGGGAAGGGATGGAAAGAGATCCGCGACGTAGGAAGTGGTGAAGGAAGTAGTAAAGGCGAGCAATCTGGAGTGTGAAACTTGTTTATGACGATTAGATTAAGGAATCTACAATCCTAAAATGCTATGGACATGGAGGGAAACAGGTCCGCGACGTAGGAAGTGGTTAAGGAAGTAGTAAAGGCGAGCAGTCTGGAGTGTGAAAACTGTTTATGAGATTAGATTAAGGAATCTGCAATCCTAAAATGCTATGGGAAGGGAGGGAAACAGGTCCGCGACGTAAAAAGTGGTGAAGGAAGTAGTAAAGGTGAGCAATCTAGAGTGTGGGAAATGTTAATAACGATTAGATCAAGTTATCTACAATCCTAAAATGCTATGGGAAGGGATGGAAAGAGGTCCGTGACGTAGGAAGTGGTGAAGGAAGTAGTAAAGGCGAGCAATCTGGAGTGTGAAAACTGTTTATGACAATTATATTAAGGAATCTACAATCCTAAAATGCTATGGGAATGGAGGGAAACAGGTCCGCGACGTAGGAAGTGGTGAAGGAAGTGGTAAAGGTGAACAGTCCGGAGTGTGGGAACTGTTAATAACGATTAGATCAAGTTATCTACAATCCTAAAATGCTATGGGAAGGGAGGGAATCAGGTCCGCGACGTAGGAAGTGGTGAAGTAAGTAGTAAAGGCGAGCAGTCTGGAGTGTGGAAACTGTTTATGACAATTAGATTAAGGAATCTACAATCCTAAAATCCTATGGGAAGGGATGGAAAGAGGTCTGCGACATAGGAAGTAGTAAAGGTGAGCAGTCCGGAGTGTGGGAAATGTTTATGACGATTAGATTAAGGTATCTACAATCCTAAAATGCTACGAGAAGGGAGGAAAACAGGTCCATGACGTAGGAAATGGTGTAGGAAGTAGTAATGCTAGCAGTGCAGAGTGTGGGAACTGTCTGTGGCATTTATGTATCTGCAATTCTAAAATGGTATAGGGAAGGAGGGCAAACAGGTCCACGACGTAGGGAGTGGTAAAGTAAGTAGTGAAGGTGAGCAGTGTGGAGATTGGGAGTGGATTAATGTATCTGCAATACTTTTCAGAGTAAACTAACAATTTTCCCCGAGCAAAGCTCGGTCCCCAGGTACTATATATAATACGTGAAGGTGAATTTTACAAAACGCTACTCCTCCGTTAATAATGCACAGATTTTTACAAACGACGTGTCAAAATTAAGTATTTTTTGTGTAGACAAAATTCCGTTAAAATTAGTCCTCGGGTTTCGTCCCACAGGCCATCAAAATCCCAATGTATTTCTTATGAAGAAAAGATTTTGTTAACCTATACAGACAAATAATTCTTATTAATTACAGCTGTTCATGGTAAACACATCATATACACACAAGAGCGTTTGTTTTCAGAGTGAGTTCGTTTTCAGTTTTGATAACTGGAGTGTGATTGTTTACATCATCTTTGAGATGACTCTTTTAAGTCATCGGAAATTATGACTGTTATTCGTTTTGAAATAACGCCTGCAATACTTTGAAATTGCTCAAACTCGAGCAAAAGGTGCACTAGTAGATATAGATTTGGTAATCAAAATGAAAGAATGATTGGTTACTGAATGATGTATTTGTAGTTATCTTAAAAATGATTATGTTCATACCAAGGTGCATATTTTCTCAGTGTAACTTAATACAAAATTACATTATAATACCAAACTAAGTGTTATTTTCAAGAACGCTATGCACAGTTTTTGCATTATAAAGCTATCCACGATCTTTCGCCCCTTGATTCAACCTTCTTCTTGCATTAACACCTGTAATTTCCTCAACTTGGTGGACTTATGATATTTAAGGACTCAATTCAACTAGACGTTTGAATTTTTTCAGAGCAACGCATGGTGTTCTTGAAACTAAATCCTAAGAGCAACATGTTGTGCGTTTCCGGCTTAGGTGGGCAAGTCCATTGCTGTTCGTGACCGTTGCTAGATTTCAGTGTGCCTGGGCCTAAATTTACTTTGAAAAGCAGTGTTGTTTACATTGGCTTTGTTTAATTTTCTATTACTACTTTACACAGCCACTCAGATGGCTAAGGCTTACCTCGACATCTCGGTCCTACCCTGATGAATTCTTTGGATGAAGAGTTGACAGTTTTATGGCTGTCTGTCTGTTTCCCAATAAATACAGTACGTCTATCTTGGGTTTCCTGAGATTCTTTCTTCTTTGCTTTAAATATCAAACTTTTATTCTTAATGGAGTTTTTAAAAACATATTTTCTATGTAAACATCCTTTTTCAGTGGCCTTTACATAAACCATCAAGTGCAGCTTTTTATTAGATCCTAACAGAGGAATTCTTCAAAATTATTTACAATTTTGTAAAAATCAAGTGTAAGAAATGACTATGTGACCCTAATTTGACTTGTGTGTTCATTTTACATTTTAAATACATTTACGTTGGTCCCTGGTGTGACATAAAACTAAAATAATTCAAGAGCACCTGCACTGATTTCGGGAATGTACCCTTACCCAAAAACCATTTCAATATAAAACACTTTATGCTCACACTGTATATTTACATTCAATAGAACATTAAGACCATTTTTAATGATGCCACACTTCGCAAAGATGGGTTGAAGCAACAATCCTGATTTTTTATCATGATATTCATGAGCTAATATCGATTATTATAATTTTATAAATTGGCCGATTAGTTAATCCTAAATGAACAAACAAATAAATAAAATATATATGTCTAATAATGTATGGTTTGTTTCAGAAATGACAATAGACAATCCCAGACATAAGGAACAGAAACTTAAGTTTGTTGCGGTGAAGCTGCATATCATCTCTGACTTTAAACAATAGCTAAAAAAGGTGTTTACTTTCTATTAGACGCTACAAGAAAAAAGAAAGAAAGAAGAAGAAATAGCAAATGAAAGTCAATAAGTTGCTTTGTAAAACTATAATTTAGCCTAAATTATAATCAAAGTTTATGGAGGCTTAGTAGGATTTGATAAATTTTTAAAAGCAACATAAAAGCTAATTATTTGATATAATTAGTAATGTAATGTAACTGAACTTAAAAGACATGTAAAAGATGAAAAATTCTCCATACATATTGTACTATATGGCGTATACACATCGGTAACAAGATTAGAGCAAGATATGTCTTCAAATAGAATGAAGGTCCTAACATTTAACAAACCCTTCATACAAGGGAAATTTAATGGACAAAAAAACATACTGACTAGTTGAGTCATTTAATTTAATTACTAGGGTAAAGTTAGATAGTAAAAAGTAAAAGATGTTAAAAACTACTAAAAAGCTTTCTTATCAGTGTCCATTATGCAGGATAATACTTTCACCACAGTGGAAAATGAGGAATCATATATTGGAGCATACAGGTGAGCACCCCTTTAAATGTTTGGTTTGTGAGAAAACATTTCTCCATCTACAATCAGTAAAAATTCATTTGAAGATGCATTCTGGAGAGCGACCTTATAAGTGCACCATATGTGGAAAGTCTTTCAAAACCAATAGCTATATGAATGTACATAGATTGGTTCATACTGGAAAGCAGCCTTATAAGTGCACCACATGTGGAAAATCTTTCAAATTCAAGAACAGTATGAAGGAACATACATTGGTTCATACTGGAGAGCGACCTTATAAGTGCACAATATGTGGAAAATCATTTACATCCAATGCCTATTTGAAGAAACATGCATTGGCTCATACTGAAGAGAGACCTTTTGAGTGCACTTCATGTGGAAAATCATTTAAAGCAAAAACTGTTTTAAAGAATCATATTAAATTGTTCCATACTGGAAAGCGACATAGTGCAAAGTGCACTATATGTGGAAAATCTGTCACATCCAATCACACTTTGAGGATACATAAATTGGTCCATACTGGAGAGCGACCTTATAAGTGTACTACATGTGGAAAATCCTTCAAATTTAAGAGAATTTTGAAGAACCATACATTGGTTCATACTGGAGAGAGACCTTATGAGTGCAATAAATGTGGAAAATCCTTTAAAGCCAATAGGGCTTTAAAGGAACATGCAATGGTTCATACTGAAGAGCGACCTTATAAGTGCACTATATGTGGAAAATCTTTCAAAGCCTATAATTCTATGAAGAAACATAAATTGAGTCATACTGGAGAGAGACCTTATATGTGTGATAAATGTGGGAAATCTTTCAAAACCAAAACTGTTTTGAATAGGCATACATTGAGTCACACAGAAGTGCGACCTTATAAGTGCAATACATGTGAAAAATCCTTTAAATTCGAGAGCTATTTGAAGAATCATAGATTGATTCACACTGGAAGGCAAGGTTATAAGTGCACAATATGTGGAAAATCATTTACAACCAATTACTATTTAAAGGTACATACATTGGTTCATACAGGAGTGCGACCTTATAAGTGCAACATATGTGGAAAAAGCTTCGCATACGAGAGCAATATGAAGGAACATACCTTTGCCCATTCTGGAGATAGACCTTATAAGTGTGACACATGCGGAAAGTTCTTTAAAAACAAAACTGGTTTAAAGAAACATACATTGGTTCACACTGGAGAGCGACCTTATATGTGAGTAAAATGCGGAAAATCTTTTACAGACAAATCCGTTTTGAATAAACATGCATTATTGGTTCATTCTAGAGAGCCTTATAAGTGTAATACATGCAGAAAATTCTTTACATTCAAAACCGATTTGAAGAATCATACTGTGGTTCATACTGGAGAGCGGCCTTATAAGTGTGATACATGCGGAAAATGCTTCAATAGGAATAGTATAATGAAGAGACATACATTGGTTCATACTAAAGAGTGACCTTATAAGTGCACAGCACGAGGGAAATCTTCAAAACCAAAAGCAATATGATGGAACATAATATTGGCTCATACCGAAGAGCGATTTTATATGTGCATTTTCTGAAACAAATCCTTCACAACTAAATGCTATTGCAGGAAATGCAAAGTGTGCTTTTGCTCAAAACCACGAAATATATTGTTTTAAAAGTTTCAGTCAAACATAGCTTACTAAAACTTATTGTTTTTTTTTTTTTCAATTGATAAAGTAAATGAATTGTTAAGCACTTACATTAAAATAACAATTTTTCATAGTCTCCTCTTAAACACTGTTTCTCGCAACTTCACAGTCCATCTATTTACTAAGCCATAAAAATTCTTGTACTAGTTTTAAGTTATATTATTGTATGCCACCATTGTATTTTCTTAATGAAACTACAAATAAAGAATATTTTGATTTGATTTTATTTTATTTAAATGTTAATGTGGTCACAGAACTAACTCCAACAAATCTACTTTGCTACTTTACAAGCACTTTCTATCAATAAAAACGAATTTTTCTGCCCGAGCCTCGCTATGGGAAGGAAATGCACTGAAGATTATGGAGATTCTTCACTTCTTTGTCTAATGCAAACTGCTGGTTGACTAAGCTCTTGTTGTTGATGATGGAAATTAATTTCATCAATGTCCATTTCACAAGGAAATATACTCTACAGTGAGTTTTTCCCCATTTGGTACACATTTCTCCGTCCTAACTCTATGGTTCTTGTTTCATTTAATCACACATACAACTTTTGTCTGAAAAATCAACTGATGTGTTTTTAATTTATGTAATACTGAACTAATAAAATTAAACAATTAATTGGATCAGAATTCAAAGATTTTAACATTATCCTATTCCTTGTCCAAAAGGTTTTTAGGAGTCTTATAATTGTTTGTTCATGAGTTTGTTTCATACCAAAGCCACTTTCACTATATGGGAGAATGAGTTCATATAATTAGTCTATAATGTAACGGAAAGAGTCAATATTTATTACTAACCACTAATTCAATCTGCTTTAGGAAAATCATTCAGATTGTATCCGGATTTAAATTATCTTCATCTTTGGTCATAAAAATACAGAATTCTATCAGCATATTAAATCAGTTTTTTTTTGTTTGATAAAAATATCTGATTCTCCAGAAAGCAGTAACATTTGTTGTGAATAACTGAACCTTTTTAGAAAATTAGGCTTTAATAAACTTAAATTGTTACATAGTTGTCAAGGTAAACAAATCTCTAATACAAACAACAAGTAAATAAATACTTCAGCTGATTACTAAAAACAGTAATTCATAACATTCACCCCCTCAAAATTTAAACAATGTAATCAGCGAGGTAACTTGGTGGTTTTCTTGATCTTTTCGGCCTTTCTAGAGGTTGGTTTTCTTCAGAGTCTTGTTCAGGAATGAAGTTCGGTTGATAATCATCATATGGTTGATATTCATGGTCTTGGATATCAAATGGAGTGACATTCTGTTCTGGATTGACATTTGGATCTGGATTAATGCTCGGCTCTGGAATGACATGTGGTTGTGATTCATCTGTCACCAGTTGAGGATTTTCTTTTAGCGTTGGAAGGACTTGGTCTTCTAGTAGACTTACATCCCCCCTTGGAGAAAGGTGCTTGAGGGATACAGTTGACTTTCTTCCATCATTGTGTTTAACCAAGGCATAATGAGGGTTAGCATCCATCAGCTCTACTTCCTCAACTAAAGGATCAAATTTTGATGGCCGAACATTTCTTTTTAAGAATATCGGTCCTGGTTTCATGAGCCAAGCTGGCAGTGAGGTGCCATTGAGGGATCGCCGAGGATGAATGAAAAACCTTTCATGTGGCGTACTGTTAGTCGAAGTGCACAAAAGAGATCTTATGGAGTGCAATGCATCATTGAGTACAACTTCCCATTGTTCTACCTTTAGTGACCTGGACTTCAGAGCTAACAAGATTGCTTTCCACAATGTTCCATTGAACTTTTCAACTTGGCCATTCCCTGCCGGATTATATGGAGTCGTTTGACTGGTGGCTATCCCTCATTCATGAAGGTAGTCTCTGAGTTCTTTTGAAAGAAAAGATGTCCCTCTGTCTGAATGAATGTAGTTTGGCATTCCAAATATTGAAAATAGATTTTCTAAACAGCGAACTACTGTGTTTGAGGACATATCACTGCAGGGATATGCGAAAGGGAAGCGTGAATATTCATCGATTATAGTCAATATATATCGATTACGTGTGCAAGATGGCAAAGGACCCTTAAAATCTACATTTAGTCGCTCAAAAGGTTTTGTGGCCTTGATAAGGTGAGCATTTGTAGTTTTGTAGAAACGAGGTTTAATCTCTGCACACATTGGGCATTTGTTTGTCATTGTTTTCACATCCTCAACTGAGTAAGGGAGGTTTTTACTTTTTACAGTACCCAGTGGTACATCCTAGTGATACCAGGGTGGCAGAGTGACTGGTGAAGTGCAAAAAGCTTGTCATCACAATTTATGTTTGTGACAGCTCCACAAACGCGTGAAAATGCATCTGCGGTGACGTTTTCTTTGCCTGGTCTGTACTGTCAAAAGAATAACAAAGAATAAGGTGACAACTCAAGACGCCATCTAGTGATTTTCTCATCCTTTATTTTACTAGTAAGCCGACTGTTGAACACAAACGACAAAGCCTGTTGATCGGTGATTAATAGAAAATGTCGCCCAATGAGGAAATGTCTCCACTTCTTTAGAGATTCGACTATGGCTAGGGCTTCCTTCTCAATAGAGAAATGACGTTTTTCACAATCGGTCAATGTTTTTGAAAAGAAAGCGACAGGTCTACCCTTTTGACTTAAGGTGGCAGCGATAGCAAAGTCAGATGCATCTGTTTCCACAACTAATGGAGAAAGATCATCAATCACGGTAAGTATTGATTTTCCTATGTCTTGTTTAATTTCCTGAAAAGCCAAAGCTGGCAAAGATGAGGGCAATATAGGAAAAGATTTGCAATCAATCAGAGGCCGAATCTTGTTTCAGAACTTGGGAACCCACTTTGAGTAGTGAGAAAATATTCCTAATGCACGTTTTAATTGAGATGCATTAACTGGCAATGGCAAATCTAACAAGGGTTTCAGACGCTCTGGATCTGCTTGCATAGACTGGTAGCGAATTTGATATCCTAGGATTGATATTATGTCTTGAGAAAATTTGCTCTTCTCATTGTTTAGAGTAATATTATATTTCTTAGCTACCTTTAAGAATTTATTCAGCCTTTCATCATGTTCTGACTGAGTTTTTCCGGCTACGGTTATGTCATCAATGAAAGCCCACACCCCTTCTAGTTCTTCAGTGGAAATGATCTTATCAATCGTGCGCTGAAAAGCAGACACACCATTTGTCACACCAAATGGAACCCTACAGAACTGATAAAGCATGTTCCGATATTGGTATTTGATGGTAAGCCTCCTTTAAATCTATAGTACTGAATACTTTATTTTCTGCTATTTTACTAGCTATGTTTTCAATATTAGGCAAGGGGTAGGCATCTAATAGGGTAAACTTATTTATAGTTTGACTATAATCTATTACTAATCGCTTTTTATGAGATGAACTTTTGGTAATAAGCACTTGTGCACGCCAGGGAGATGAACTTTCTTCAATTATACCACTTTGAAGGAGTTTTTGCAATTCAGAGTTGATGAACTTTTCATCATCATTAGAATACCTACGAGACTTAGTTGCAATGGGCTTGCAGTCAGGTGATATATTATGAAAAAGGCGTGGTGGTTCCACAGAAGCACAGGCAACATTACAAATGGACAGAGGTAACTTATCTCCTCCAAAATCTAGGTTCACTGAAGAATGCAGTTTCATGATATCATGACCAACCAATATGTCAGTGCACAGATTGTCAATAACAAACAGTTGTACTCTCTCATAGTTATGGTCAGAGAACTCTAAGTTCACATTAACATAACCTTTGATGGGTGACTTTAGGTTTGTGGAAGCCATAGATACCTGTTTCCGTTCTGGAATTACATGAAAACCATTTTCAATTACCACAGCTCGGTTTATAAAACTATCGGTACAACCAGTAACAACCAAAACTTCAACAGGTATTTTATTTGAATAACCCCGCACAACAGCTTTTGACAGTCCATTGGAGGCAGCTGCACATGAAAACGTGGTTACTACCAAAGAAGAGGCATTAAAGGTCTTACCTTGAGTTTTCATCAACCTGCATACCTTCACAAAATGTCCCCTTTTCTTACAACCAGAGCAAGTAGCATCTTTGGCAGGACAGTCGTTTTGAGTAAAATGACGCCGGCCACCGCAGTAGAAACACTTCTGTTTAAAGTTTTTTGCTACAAGCTGAAGTAGGAGACTCTTCAGGATCTATATTTTCATCCAGTTGATCGGGTAGTGTTGATGAAGTGTTGCAATATGTGACTTCAATTTGGTTTGAAGATCCATATGCTTCACAGCTCCTCTGTGCAGACTCGAAGTGAACGTGAAATGTCCTCAGCTTCTTTTAATGTCAAGGACGGTTTTTCTAGTAATCTTTGTCGAATATGGGGGTTCATAATTCCACTTATAAAGGCATCTCTAACGGCTTCATCTCGATAAGTATTTCCATCTATGGCACGAAAATTGCAATCCTTACTTAGAAGTTTAAGTTCTTGTAGATACTTGTCTATGTTTTCTTCTTTCTTCTGCTTGCGGTTTGCTAGCATGTGTCGAGCATAAATTTCATTCTTCTTAGGATTATAAATAGTTTGCAAAATTTCAACTGCTGACTTAAACGTGGAACATTCAGAAATATACTCGTAGACATTGTAAGAAAGAAAATTAATCAACACGTTAAGTTTCCTCTCTTCAGTAACTGCTGAGTCAGATATGAAATTTTCAAGTGTCCTGAACCAGTGTTTGAATGCTCTACTTGCAGAAGGATTTTCAGGATTAATATCAAACCTGTCTGGTTTTAAAAGTTTTTCCATTTTGATTTTGATTATTTAATTATCTTAATAAATTTAAGTTTATTAAATTTGTTGTGAATAACTGAACCTTTTTAGAAAATAAGGCTTTAATAAACTTAAATTGTTACATAGTTGTCAAGGTAAACAAATCTCTAATACAAACAACAAGTAAATAAATACTTCAGCTGATTACTAAAAACAGTAATTAATAACCGATCTCAGCAATTTTAATTCCTTCTCTTGCCACATCGACCCATGTATTTAATCATCCTGTTCTTACTTGATAATTCATTAACTTATGGGGTAGTTTTGCCTTGGCCATATAGATCACATATAGATCACAGTGAACTTTAAAGGCCTCTGGGGCAGAGGCCTAAGAAAATTTACCTCGTTTCTCTTTTGAGAGCTCACCTACAGACCAATATACCTTTCTTCAGACACCCCTACCAAGTGTCTACGCCCATCCGTTC